GGGACGTCAAAGATGATGGTGTAATCGGGGTGGAAGTCGCCTAGTACCCAGTCATTGGGCTGCTCGAGTTTATGATTAGTTAGCCCTCTGCCACCACCTTGGTATGCAAAGCTCGCGTCAACAAAACGGTCTGATACCACCCAATCACCGCGCGTGAGTGCAGGTAAAATAACGCGACTAAAAAGCTCTTGGCGGGCGGCAAACATGAGCAGAGCTTCTGTGGTGGGTAGCATGGATTGGTTTAAGAGTAAGTTACGGATATTTTCCCCAACGGGTGTACCACCTGGTTCGCGGGTTTGGATGAGTGATCGATGTTGTTTGGCTAGGCGATGTTCTAGCTCATTGACAAACCATGCCATGAAGGTGCTTTTTCCTGCGCCATCAATACCTTCAAAGCTAATCATTTTGCCGCGTGGTTTCATGGTTTCCTCATGGAGACGTGTCAGGGGTTGATTGGGGTTTTGCCTGATTTAACTGGTATTTACGGACATTGGCGTTGTGTTCAGCTAAGGTTTGGGCAAAAGCACTACTTTTATCGCCCCTTGCAACAAAATAAAGATAGTGGGTTTTGTCGGGTAAAGCTGCTGCTTGTAGAGCTGCTTTGCCAGGCAAGGCAATTGGAGTTGGCGGTAAGCCCATGCGGGTGTATGTATTATAGGGGGTGTCAGTTAATAAATCGCGTTTACGAATATTGCCGTCGTAGTTTTTGATACCGTAAATCACCGAGGGATCGGTTTGTAATTTCATGCCCTTTTGCAAACGATTATTAAAAACTGAGCTAATTAAGGCACGATCTTCGTGAGTTCCAGCTTCTTTTTCAATAATCGATGCCATAATCAAAAGTTCATATGGGTTTTTGTAAGATGTAGTTTTGTCACGGTTATCCCAAACAACTTGGAGTTCTTTTTGCATTTTGTCATAAGCGCGCTGTAAAATCTCGGATTCTTTGTCGCCGGTGATAAAATCGTAGGTGGCTGGGTAAAAAAGCCCTTCAGCATGGGTGTGTGTGCTGCCGACGAGTTTTAAAATTTGTTCTTGGCTTAAGTCTTTGGTATCGTGGATTAAAATTGGGTTCTTGGCTAAAGCATCGCGTAAGCGCTGAAAGGTCCAGCCCTCGATGACCGTAATTTGTGTAGGGTCAACTTTGCCATCGGAGATTTTCTCGAGTAAACTCATTGGACTCATCTGGTCGGTGATCTTATAATCTCCGGCTTTAAGTGTCGTGCGTCCAGTTAAACGTTGTAATAGCTTAAAATAGCGGGGTGATACAGTCACACCAGCATCAGCTAATTTTTGTAAGGTTTTATCGGTACCATAACCTGGCTCGACGACGAGCTGAACTGGGCTAGAATTTTTAAAAACAAGATTGTTGGTGCTCCATAAAAAAACATGAATGACCAGTGCAGTAGCACAAACGCCAATAAGCAGCAAAATACGTAACAGTAACGAAAAATTAGCGCGAAAAGTGTGTTTTTGAGTCATGATGATTCTTCTTGAAGGTCAAGAAGAGCTATTTTACTAGAAAGGACAAACTATGCAGGGACACTTCAATCACTGGGTGGTCGTTTCTGTGCAAGGTGTTGATAGTGCTGATTTTTTGCACAAACAGCTCACGCAAAATGTTTTATCCATGCAAAGTGGCGATTGCCGTTTGTTTGGTTATTGTACGGCTCAGGGCCGTTTGTTGGCAAACGGTTTGTTGGTTTGCATCAATCAAGCATCATTTTGGCTCCTGATGCAGGACTCGATTGTTGATCAAATGGTCAAGCGATTGAAAATGTTTGTATTACGTGCCAAAGTTGTGATCGAACGTTCGCCTTTGCTAGTAGGAGGACAATTAACGATCGAAGAACAAACTTTACCTAAACCCAAGCTCGGTTTGATCGATTCCAAGGTTTTGCACTGGTCAGTTGCTGGTGAGTTTACTTTTGTCAATGACAAGGACGTGCCTTTAGCGGTGGGATGCGTAATTGACTACCCTAGTCCGAGTGGGGTGAAGCGAGAAATTGTGGTTACTGAAAAAAATCAACTTTCTAGTGGTGATGAAAAGCAATTTTTATCATTATGGCAATCGTTCGATATACAATTAGGTCTTGTTTGGCTCACGGCAAAGCTTCAAGAACAATTTATACCTCAAATGATCCACTTGGAAAAAATGGGGGGGGTCGACTTTAAAAAAGGCTGTTACCCTGGACAAGAAGTCGTCGCGCGAGCACAATATCGTGGGGCTGTTAAACGAGGCTTGTTTTTAGGTCAATGTGATCAAAAGGTTGCACAATCATGCCCTTTATATGTTTTTTCTGATCAGCACAATGAGCAGGCTAGTCTTGTCGGTGAGGTTGTTGATTGTGCTAGAGAAGTTGATGATTTTGGTGTGTTGTCAACGACAACATGTTGCAATGTTTTGTTAGTTGCTCACTTGGGTTTGTCTGCCAATCCGATGGTGTCAATTGCACCGAATGAATGGCTTAGCATCCGGATTAGCTAAGCGATCATCAAGATGACTATAAAAAAGGCTCTTAAACTGGTACAATGGCGAGCTTAATCGATGAGAAACTTCTGACTGTATCGGTATCATATATATGTGTATTGCATTTTTAGCTTGGCAAGTCCACCCTCAGTTACCACTGGTTTTAGCAGGGAACAGAGATGAGTTTTATGCGCGTCCAACGATGGCTGCGCATTGGTGGCATCGTCCAGAAATA